GTCTCCTGTGTGTCCTTGGGCTGCTGTTGGTCTGTCTGGCTCCTGGAGGCAGGGCCCAGAGGCCAAGGGAGCCAGAGGGAGAGCAGCCAGCAGCCCAGGCTCAGCTGGCCGAGAGAGACGCAATCTGCAACCAGGATGGATGCTACAGCGTCTACCTCCAGAAGAGAATCTTCAGGGAGGCTGGGCGGAGCTGCCGGGAGCGAGGTGGGACCCTGGCAACCATGCACACCCATGAGGCAGCGGGTGTGGTCCATGAGCTGCTATCAGCCATTGAAGCGCAGGGGGCCAGATCAAGGCTTCGACTCTGGATCGGGCTGCACAGACCGCCACGCCAGTGTTCAACCACCCGGCCCCTCAGAGGATTCGTCTGGGTCACAGGCAAAGTCTAAACTTCCTTACATTTTGACCCCTAAGTACTTCTTATATTCATCCCTGTATCTGTATAATTTCACTGGATTTTAATCAACTTCCCTCTCCCATTTAACTTAAGTGACCATGTAGCAAAGTTTCCCAAGTGTTATGTGAAAACTCAAAACTTTATTAGATTCTTGAATATCCATTAAAAATGTAATCCTATTTTATCCTAATAATTTCTAAACTGCTGTTATATACAATTGTTTCACTATACATTACGCCTCCTTTGATATTAATGTTTCCACATGCACATATCATTTTTAACTTGAGCTATACCCTAAGGAAGGAATGATTCCATTTTATTTATTTGACACCTAATTATTTATCTGATGACATGGTAATATATAGAGAATATATTATTAGATAGATTCAATATTCATCCATCATTCGCAATCATTTTGCAGTAGCAGAGAGGAAAAATTATGCTGTTAACAGGCAGAAAACTCAAGCAGAACCAGACACCTTGTTGATGAGCCATCTGTCACAACCAGGTGGAAAAAATGAGAGAGGGAGAGACAGAAAGAGAGCGGTGATGGAGCTAAACAGTCAGAAAGGGAGAAAGACAGACATTTCGGGAGATATTATACCACAACAAAGGAATCACAAACAGATTAAGGTAGTCAGTTCTCTGGACCTCAAACCCTCCCCTCAGACAGACTTTGGTGCCTGGTCCAGCCTGCAGAGCACTGTTCTGACTGGATGGTTATTACATTAACTTCTTTTGTTTCACAGAGAGGGAGTTGGCATGCCAGGGGGAAGTTCAATCCCCATTTTGACCTCAGTGATCCTCAGCCTGATTTAGTCATTACAATAACACCACCTACTAAAAACCAGATGGACTTTTATCACTCACAGCGTCTGCCTGGGTCTTTAGTTAGAGAATACTTTAAATTTAAAAGAGTTATGTCACCAGCCTAGTTTTCCATCAGCCATGATTTACAGGGTTGGTTTAACCAAACTGAAAAGGACGCATTTTCTTCCTTTTCTGCAGTGTTTTTTTTGCAATGCGAATAACTTGGTTTCATTTAACCAGGGTACGATTTAGAGTCTTTTTTTTCCCATGCATCAGAGCATGCAAATGGAGATGTTCTGACATGCTCAAGGTAAAGAAAACAAATCAAATGCACTTGTTGCGGTGCTAAATCAGCTTTAGTTGCAACTGTCATGCTTATTGTTTGGCCCCTGAATATATTCAAACAGACAAAAATGGCATATTCTTCCTTTATATGTTATAATGGGTGAGGTATTTATCAACAGTGAGGTGTGGCATTCAATGTGACGCCTGCCAAAATGTTAATCTATGGATAAATTATCTATAAGACTTCCAAGGAGTTATCCAAATGTTAACATCTAAATATCCATGCAACAAAAATACAAACAGGAAAAATGAAAGGTTTTCATAGTTGACATGAGAAGTATTACAAATATCTTACTTTAGCGACTCCTACTGGTAGTGTAAATGAACAAACTATTGAAAACAAAACAGATGAATAAATGTTTTATACAAGAGGTAGGCTGCACTCATTTTCTTCAGAAATCAACTTTTTAAGAAAAACTAAAAAAAAACTCCATACATAGCAGTTTAAACTACAATAAATAACCAAATAAAACACATATATAGATGTTAAGAGGGCAAATAAGAACTAAAAAAGAAATAGCTTTTATTGAACTAAAAGAGAAAATTCAAAAGGGGTCATTTCTACTTTCACTGACCTGTTCCTTGTATTTTTTTTTTTTCTTCTAACAGGAGACCAGGATGGCCAGTTTACCAATTGGCTCCGTGAAGACGCCCTGGGACATGTGCAGCCCCTCGCTGTGTGGCCATGACTGTCAACACTTCTGAGAATGGCCGTGAGAGCAGCGATAACCTTCGGTGGGTTGATGGCTCCTGTGCATTGCCGTTGGACGGATACGTCTGCCAGTACAATTACAAAGGAATGTGTTCCCCACTGAAGAATGAGGGCAGCGGTCCGGCTGTTTACAACACCCCATTCCACCTAGTCAGCACCCTGCTGACACACGTGCCCTATGGGTCTGTAGCCACTGTGCCGTGCCCTGCTGACACCTCAAACCCAGATGCTGATGCTGAGCAGACTGTGCTGTGCATGGAGAGAGATGACGAGACTGTCGGCTGGTCCAGGGATGCCCCGCTCTGCTCGTCAGCAGCAGCTCCTCAGAACCAGGACTGGTGTAGCGGGGACCACGGATGTGAGCAGTACTGCCAGAACACGGACACAGATTACTACTGTTACTGCTCGGAGGGCTTTACGATAGACGAGGACGGATACACCTGCAAGCCTGACCCCTTGAGCCAAACTGATCAACCTGGATTATCATCTGACTCCGCTGGCCACATTGATCAGCCCCACATCAAGGAGGTCTGTGTGAAGATGGGGTGTGAATACAACTGTATAGAAACAACCCGGGGAGTCCGCTGCACTTGCCCCCCTGGCTACCAAATGGGTCCGGATGGCCGCAGGTGTTCTGACGTGGATGAATGTCTACAACAACCATGCCCTCAACTCTGTGTCAACATCCCAGGCACCTTCCACTGCACCTGCCACAATGGGTATCAGCCGGACGACGAGGGGGAGTGTGTGGATGTTGACGAGTGCCTGGATGAGGGCACCTGTGAAGGCACTTGCGAGAATACAATTGGGTCCTTCTCTTGCTTGTGTAATCCCGGGTATGAGTCTGGCAGTGATGGAGTGTGTGTTGATGTAGACGAGTGTGTGAGCGAGTCGCCCTGCCAGCAGCAGTGTCTCAACTTTATGGGAGGATACCAGTGTTTCTGTGAGAGTAGCTTTGACCTGCAGCCGGATGGACTTACTTGCCAACCTTCACCTGATGATGAGGAATATTCCACTCTGTCTCCTGACCCCAGTGACTCTGCTCACATATATGACTTTGACCCGAACTTTGATATTCCCTGGTCCAGCTCGTTCACCCCCGACCCGAGTTTTGAAGCTGAAACCAACTTTGACGTTGATTGGCTGACAGAAGCCCCTGAGTCGCTCTCTCCTGACATGAACCATGGGTCAGATAATCACCTAAACCAATGGGATGCCCTTTCGCCAAAGCGATACCTGACAGCCCCATCCCCAACACAAAAAGGCAACACAGGAAATGAAATAGATAATGAGGCTCTAGCTAAGACAGGAGGTAGAGCAGCTAGTGACGGAGTAGGAGATGAGACCGCAAATGAGTCAGGCACTGGTACCAGGGAGGGGGAGGAATCTAACATAAATGATACAAAGGATGTCAGTGGCACAGTTGAGGAAGGGGCTACTGCAGGAAAACGAAAGCATGACAAGAGCTGGCTGCTAGTGGCCCTACTGGTGCCTCTATGTGTATTCCTCGTAGTAATGCTCGCTCTGGGGATTGTTTACTGCACCAGCTGTGCTGTCGACAAGAGCCTGAGCTTCTCAAACTGCTATCGCTGGATACTCCCCACTACGCCTCCTGATAGGAGGAACGGCAAAACCCAAGCATGAACCCTAAAATGAACAAACATAGGTGCATGAGCAAACACAGATTTTTTTTTGAAAGCTCAGATGTTTGTTAACATTCCTCTTGTGGTGCAGGACTTGTCACTGAAACTACCATTTGGATAATAATTCAGCTGCGCGGCTCTCTCATTCATCAAGAAAAATCTAAATCTTTTCTGTTTCACACCCTCTGTAAATAATTCACTTTCATCATGTTTTAGAATTCAATAAAACCAATAAACTAATGAAATACGGTGTGGTTTGTAAGTCTTTTACATTCAAGAGGATGAAGGAATCAAAGTGTGGAAAGAATGAGTGGCTATCGGTTCAAGTTTCCATATGTGGGAAAAAAAAAAACAGACTTGTGATTTTCTTTAAAAAGAATATTAAAGGGATAGTTCAGTATTTTTTAAGTGGGGTTCTTGCCAATAGTAAGTATATTAGCCACCTATGACGGTCAGCTCAGCCCCTCAATTGATGCAACAGCAGAAGTGACAGCATGAAAGCGAGGTTAGCAGACGGGTATGTTACACATACTTTTGATTGGTTTAAGAAAAAAATGTATGTCTGGTTAAAAATCTAATTTGGTCTGATTGGCTCATGTCTTGATCGGCACACACTGTGTGGGGTGAATTTTCTTGATAACCATTTTGAGTTATGTGCAATGCAATGGTTTGTCAAGAAGCTTAAACTCGCCTCAGCTCCAGTTCTCAGCGTTTCCTTTATGTCTACAGAAAGTTGGGTTGATACAGCATTTCCAGCATGGCGACTGCCATCATGGTACTCCAAAGACCCCTGCAGTAACAGATGAATGGGTGTCGTCACTCATGCTTCACCCATTAATATTTACAGTCTATGGCTAAAACAAAGGTGCTTGCACACGTACCTGTAGACCACAGGTTAGCTTTTGTACCGTCATTCTTATCGTTTTCGGTGGTTAATGATACTATTGAGAGTACCTCCTCACCCCACGTAAAAAAATCCGAACTATCCCTTTAACTTTCGACTGGAGGGGGTGTGTGGCAGAGGTAGGAGGAGCCACGAAAAAACATATGACAAAGTTGCTTACAGGACGAAGGGTATTTCGGGGTATGATCTTGTCGCAGGTCATGTTTGGGGGTCCTTCGTCGATAGTGAAGCTGTGTTTCAATCGTTTATTGGTAAGATGTTCTCGATCGTGGAAAAGATATCCGACGAGGATGGGATTCGAACCCACGCGTGCAGAGCACAATGGATTAGCAGTCCATCGCCTTAACCACTCGGCCACCTCGTCTGATATACGTTTCCTCAGGTATTGTCGCTTATTATTATATTGATATCACTGTATTCTTTGTGGAGTGGCGTTACGGGCCACGTGTCCGAGCTGCTTTCTGTCCAAAGATCGTGTATTTTAAGCTTAACCTTGTTCAGGAAAACACCGTCACGGAGAACTGCCTCACACCAGCTCACCTACTTCGTAATTGGTTAAGAGCGTCTCTCAATCACGATATTGCGACCTGTGATTGGTCGAGGGGAGGGTCTAACCTCAATGAATACAGGAAGCTTTACAGCGTGAGACTGCACTTTGACGTTCACCGGGAAGAAAAGAAAGGTAACAAGCTGTTGAGTTTGGTGTCCACCTTTACGCCTCTTGACGCGTATTTAATATAGTAAGAAGAAAAACAAACCTAGTAGTGTGTTGTAAGATACTTGGGACTTAATTTATCAACACACGTGTGGTGAAATGCTCTAAACACTAAGCAGCAGTTAGCATGCTGCTAGCTGCAAACTGTAGCTACAGACTGGAACCAGTTAGCTGTAAGATGTTTAAACCTAATCTGCCTTTAAACTTTTGTTCTGGTATGTTGTTAATTTGAAGGGGGAGAATATATAAAGGGGTATAAATGTTCCTACTTTCGACGTCAGGGCGCTTTACTTCTTCAGTATTGGAAAACGAAACAGAAAGTTTGATCCACCGATTTATCAGTTAATCATTGTCAACCATAGGTCAAGGGTTACATTGTTATATCTACTTTAACAATGTCCAAGACCTTAAACAACACTGTAAACCGTAGCTTAGATACATGCAAAAACAGATTAAAGATTAAAACTCAAAAGTTTATAAGGGTTTTGTCTACACCAGTGTTTTCACAGTGCCCAATCTCTCTGAAGCTAAGACAGATGTTGAAATACTTCATTGAGCACATGGAAATAAAAAAGACAGTAGTGTTGATTCTAACAAGTCATTTTGCTTTTATTTCTCTATCCCTCTAATTTCTCATTTAATCTTTGCTTTCGCCCTATTTTATTTTTGCAATCCATCACCACCCCTTACTTGTTTTTCCTAACTCATCTTCTTCTTTCTTCCCACAATTTCCTCCTCTGGGCTTCCCTCTTTCTCTTTTTTCCAGTTCCTCCTCATCAGCGTTGAACCTGGAATTAAAGATGGTGGATTCCCAGTACTACCTCCCTAATGACATTGGCATTTCTGCCCTTGACTGTGGTGAGGCCTTTCGTTTGCTTTCACCTCAGGAGAAGATGTACGCCCACTACCTGTCCCGAGCTGCTTGGTATGTTGTTGACCTCAAATTGTGGCAAATTCAAGGCAAGCGCCGTTAAAATGTAGAAACCAATGGAGATCATCTGTTGAATTACTGACACGAACAGAGAGATTTGACCTGTTTTAAAGAATATGCAGTTTAGTTAAGTTAATTGCAGAAGTGAAACCTCGCTGATTAAATGAACATTTGCTGTCTTAGGTATGGTGGTCTGGCAGTGCTGCTGCAGACTTCCCCAGAGTCTGCGAACATCTTTGTTTTGCTGCAGAAAATCTTCAGGAAGCAGACGCCTGCACAGCTGGAACAGGTTGCCACAGCAGCTGGGCTCAGCTCTGAGGAGTATCAGGTTCATTTTTTTTTATTGACTTATTTCACTTGTAACGTTTTGACTTGCTCTTACATAAAAAAAAAAAAAAAAAAAAGTGAAGATGTTCTTATATTTTTTCATGTCTGTGACATTCAGGCCTTCTTGGTGTATGCAGCAGGTCTGTATGCCAACATGGGAAACTACAAGTCTTTTGGAGACACAAAGTTCATCCCCAATCTACCCAAGGTAAAAGGTTGTCTTTGGTAACAGCAGGTTTAAAATAAAATAAGCAGAATTCAAAGGAAGAATGTGGGACTTTTTTGATCCAGTAAATATGGCCCTTGAGCACCAGCCCTAAACCAAAACAAACTGCGGTTTGGCGACAACTCCGCTTTTCTGAAGCCTCCGTTCTCTTCCAGCGGCACACCTCCAACCCCTCTCCACTCGCACGAAGGTGTTATGAATTAGAACCAACCATGATTAAGCACCATTAAGTGCAAGCGGCGGACAAAATTGTCCTTTGCTTGAGCTGCAGTTGCCTGTGTCCTGCATTATTGTGTTAGCAGGCTAATGTTAGCACACTTTGGTTTACTTAAGCTTCATATTGCACATAAATTGACACAGAGAGACCGTGATCTAAAGACACTTACATGACATCCAAATGAGCAGTGGGTAGGCTTTGTTATTCTTCTTTTCTCTAGTCCTTGACTAAAACAGCTTTATACGCAAGGCCGTCCTGTCCATGTAAGCATGATGTAAACACAGCTCTGACAACAGTACAGCTGGCTGGACTCACTTTTCACTCATTGTAGACAGTCGTGACTCAGAGAGATATTTACAGAGGATATACTTGATTTCTGTGGTAAAATGTTTCAAATTCCACTGGAACACATTTAAAATGTGCAAGTTTGACACAAATTGTGACACACAGTGGAGCGCTTTATTTCTTATTTCATAATTTCCCTTCAGGAATTGATACAGTTTCTGAATAATTTTTGTTTGTTGGTTATAATGCTACTTTTTTGCTGTTGTTACATGTTTTAAGCTGAGTGTATCTGTGTCATTTCCACTCAGGACAAACTGGATTCTCTGGTGAAGGCCAGCCAGGCGTTTCAAGATCAGCCCAGTGAGATGAAGGCCCTGTGGGACAGCTGCTCGTGTCTCCTCTACTCCCTGGAGGACAGACAGAAGCAACTGGGGCTGGGTGACAAGGTGGGATTTGTGTATCATTTAATGCTGATTTTAGGCCAGCTTTGATCTATTTTTCTTTTACTTTTGTTGTTGTTTTTGTTGTGTTTTCCCTACTGGAGAGGGAAAGAGGCTTTCCTCCATGGGACTGGAAATTAATATTTGTCACGCTTGTCTCTTTTACTCAAACAGCAGTTTCTCTTCATCTTGTTTTCCTATTTTTCTTTTTTTTAAAGATGTTTTTCAATCTTTTCTTTTAAATTGGCTCAATAATTGGCCTTCATGAGACTATTAGACCCCAAACTTTCAGTGGGCTCTACTTGTGACCCCTATGAAGATTTCATAAAGTACTTTTGCTTGTGTTTTCTTCAGGGAATTACCACCTACTTTTCAGGAAACTGCTGTCTGGAGGATGCTGAGCTGGCTCAGAAGTTCCTTGACTCAAAGGTAAGCTAAAGTCAAACTTGTGTTTTATTGTTAATCTGAATTGTACATTTTTCTTTTTCCTCTTTCCCCTCTGCCTTTTATTGTATAGATTAATCATTTTCACCTGTGCTAGTTTTTCTCTTGCATTTAACTGTAAGTCCACATATTCTTAACTATGATTTAATGGTTTGTTTCCAGAAACTGTCCGCTTACAACACACGTCTGTTCAAGAGGGAAAATGGAGGCAAAGCTTGCTATGAGGTTCGCTTGGCTTCAGCTGTGCAGAAAGGTCACCACTTAAGTTTTACATGAAAATTAAGATTAATGACCATGTACAACACGAATATATATATATATATATATATCTACTGTACACTTTGTAGCTTGTAAAAACATTCATTTTGATTACCATCAAATCACTTGGCCAGTATTTGTTATGTTACGTTGTAAAAGTTTTTTCCCAAACATTTAAACGCATTACCAGACACTCTAAACACCAACTGAAAATAAGTTAAAAAACAAAACAAAAAAAAAACAAGTTAACTTCTTTGTTTAAAACTCTACAAATGTAGTGCAAAATGAAACACAGCACTCTAAACCAAGTTCTCTCTTCTCAAAACAAATTCCTCCCACCAAAACAATAAACACAGCTCTTGTATGCTTATGTCTTACAGGGCGTCAAATAAACAATGATGTGATCAATTCAGAGCACTACCATTAAATGTGTTCATGTATGTTTTAGCTTCAGGAAGTCATGTAACAGTCAAAAGCAGTTTTGTTGAAGTGTAGCAATGTGACCTATTTGACGTGGTATGTAGCAAAACTCAAAAGTCATTTCACCTATGTTAGTACTATGAGAAACACTACAAGGAAGAAAGCACAGATACAGAAGGTCACGAAACCTTATTGGTTACTACAGTATGAAGTGTACAGATGAACTGACAAAAACAAATTGTAAAATGCAATAAAGCAGATCATTCTCTACCTGTATAAGTCACCTGAGGCCTCCTTTATACTCTGGCAAATGATTGAAGTGTTCTTCCAATTGAGTTTGCGCAGGAGAAACTTGAGTGTGACTAATTGGTGATCAGGGTGTTACATTTCAAAGTCCAGCAATTCTAGTTAAACAAATAGTGCTAAATTATTTAACTTGTGTTCAGAGATTTGCAAAACTGTGATTTGGAATGATATTTGAGTGAGACTATTGGAATTGTGCTTAGATTTTAGCAGTTTGGAGCTTAATGTTTTAAGGGTTGTTGGCATAGTCCGATTTTTGTTTGTGTTTATAAAATGGGGAGAACTGTCAGAGATTTAATCATTAAAATGTACTTTACTGTCTTACAGACTGTGCAGTCGAAGGGGAATGCAACTCATGCTGCGGTAGCTTCAACTTTGAAGACACAGAGTTTACTGTAAAAAGGGGAGACTATGCTCCGCTCATGGAAAAAGTCTGCTATTACCTCGACAAAGCACAGGTGAGAGCGATGGATACGGTGGAATATAGTCATGGTCAGTCTCTGGTCTATTAGCTGATGGCCCTTAGGCTATACAATGTTTGAACAAGGAGCTGCCAAACTGCCACTTATAAAACTCTTGTTTTGTTTCTAAATCTTGTTTCACTCAGTCGTATGCAGCCAATGAGAACCAGAGAAAGATGCTTGAAGAATATAGCCGCAGCTTCACCCTTGGCTCAATTGAAGCCCATAAGGAGGGCTCACGCTACTGGATCAAAGACAAGGGACCAATCGTCGAGAGGTGAGTCATGTCTCTTATGGCTTAAGTAAACAATAATAGAGTCAAAAATATATTTACAAAGTGATGATATATCGACAGATTAACGTTACTCAGGGTAGCAGGAAAGTACTGCTACCACCATTATTAGGTATGCCATTATAAGTATAAGAGTTTGAGAACAACTGTACTGAATAATTGATAACCTACTGTTTATGAACAAATCCCTCTAGACTCTGAAATGCATTATAATGGTTTCTTAATGACTTAATGTGGTCAATAATAAACCAGTAACCTAAACCTGCCTATAACCATGCTTAATAATTAATGTGGTACTTCTAACTGTTTACAAATATTAGCATTAAACATTTACTGAATAAATTTGGATTTTGCATTTCAATTGCATATATAATCATTTGTATTATTGTTATTATTAGTGGCAGTAGTATTGGTTACTCACATTAGCCTACACATTTTCAGAAAGGCCTACGGTTCAATTCAAATAACTTTATTTATCCGTTAGGAACTTCATTTGTGTGAAAGAGCATCAGTACGCATAGAGCTAGACACAAAAACAACAGCAGAAACACACACATACAAATGGCTCTATTAAAAGCATGATAAATAGGTCATAAATAATTGTTATGAGTGGTCTTATAAATAAATAAGAACTAGATCATTTGTTCATGAGCCTGATGGATGTGGGAGCAAAGCTTGACATGGCTCGATTAGTCCGGAAAGTGAGAGATCTGTATCTGTGGCCTGAGGGGAGACGGTTGTAGAGATGGCAGAGTGAGTGTGTGCTGTCTGAGGCGGTGATGTGTTGTCCTTTTAGTTTTGTTCTCCTGTTGTAGATACTGATCAGTGGTTCCTGCTGCTGTCCGATTATTTTGCTGCTTATTGTTATGATCCTGTTTAATGGGTTACGATGAATGTTTGGCAGAGACCCAAACCAGGCTGTGATGTTGAAGGTTAAAACTGATTCTATAAAACAGTTGTAAAATGCTGTTAGGACTGATTGGTGGACTTGAAATTTGCGGAGTTTTCTGAGGAAGAAGAGGCGCTGCTGGCACTTGGAGAAGATGGATTTGGAAGGTGAGCCTGTGATCAATTATTGTCCCGAGGTATCTGTATGATTCAACCCTGTCTATGGGCTGGTTGTTGACTGACAGAGTGGGGATGCTGTTAGGTTCCTGTTGAAACTGTTTTAGATGAGCTGAGGTGACCGTTGACTTGGACCCAGAGAATCAGGTGCGGGTTGGTATCCAGCTTGAGCATTTTACGACCCAACAGGTGGGGTTGCACAGTATTGAATGCACTTGAGAAGTCCACAAAGACTAGTCTAATAAATGACTTGGACTTATCAAGGTGTGCATAGGGTTCATGCAGCAGAGTTAGAACAGCGTCGTCCACACCACTGTGCTGTTTGTATGCAAACTGGAGAGGGTCGGCATACATATTGACCTCCTCCTGGAGTTGAGAGAGAACAAGCCTCTCAAAGCCTTTCATAACCAATGATGTTAATGCAATGGGTCTATAGTCATTGTTACAGGTGGGATTGCTCTTTTTGGCTACAGGACAAACAATTGCTGATTTCCAGAGTGACAGGATTGAGTGTTCTTCAAGGGAGCGGTTGAAGAGATTGCAGAAAACACCAGCCAGCTGGCTGCAGCATGCCTTCAATAAACGGCCACAGATCTGATCAGGTCCTGGTGCTTTGTTTGTTTTTGTTCTCTTCGGCATTTTTTCTACTTCAACCTGCTTCAGTTCCAGGTTTGAATGGGAGAGGGTCATTGGGGTGAGTTCACCTATTAGCTCCTCTCGCTCCCATGTGTAGTCAGTCTGGTCAAATCTGCAGTAGATTTGGTTCAAGCTGCCATATTGACACAGACTTCTGCCCCGACCCCCATTAGTTATTGCTGGAGTGTTGGTAGGGAGGCCAGCCAGTGTTTGAACACCTTGCCAGGCATCCCTGGCTTTTCCTTCCTGGAAGAGCTTCTCAACTCTGTCCTTGTGAACTCTCTTGGCAGCTTTTATTTGTTTGTTCAACTTATTTCGTATGTTTTTGGATTCAGTCCTATTTCCTGATTTGAATGCTATTTTCTTTTCATTCAGAGTGTTTTTCAGGGCTTTTGTGATCCAGGTCTTGTTGTTAGAGAATACCTTTACAGTGCTCGTGGGGACAATCATGTCCTCACAAAAGGTGATGTAGTGAGACACCACATCAGTTGTTTCCTCAAGGCTGCTCCCATTGGTCAACACCTCCCAGTCTGTGCAATCGAAGCATCCCTGTCGTGTCTCAACCACAGTCTCCTCCCACTTTTTCACCACCTTCTTGGCCACGCCCTCTCGTTGCAGTTTCGAGCAGTATGCAGGAATGAGATGAACAACATTATGGTCTGCAGTACTAAGTGGTGGTTTGTTGTAGGCTTTATATGCGGTTTTTTTACATTTCCATAGCAGAGGTCGATTGTTTTGTCGCCTCTGGTGGCGCAAGTGACGTACTGCTGATAGGTTGGAAGTGATTTGTCTAACCTGCAGCTGTTAAAATCCCCTAGGATGAGGACAGGGGAGTCTGGGGGAGCACTTTCAATATTGTGGACACACGAAGCTATGGTCTCTAACGCGCGTGTGACGTTGCCAGAGGGAGGAACGTAAACAAGCACGAGGGCCAGCTGACCGAACTCCCGGGGGAGGTACTTAGGTCTAAAAGATACTGTAAGCAGCTCTACGTCAGGTGTACAGCATGAGTGATTCACATTAGCAGTTCTACACCAATCATTATTAAAGTACACACACAGGCCCCCGCCGTGCTTCTTCAGGCTACTCACGGTGTCCCGATCAAGTCTGAGCGGGGCTCCGAATCCGTCCAGAGAGAGCTCCGAGTCCGCTATTGTGTTGTGAAGCCAGGTTTCTGTGAGGCAGATCAGATTTGCTTCCTTGTATGCCCATTGGCATGATATGTTTGCATGTAGTTCATGGAGTTTATTGCGTAAAGAGCGGACGTTTGCAAAGATAATGGACGGGAGTGGTGGGGTTTTTTGAGTGCCCGTGAGTCTCTTTAACCTCTGCCTCACTCCCTCTCTCCTTCCCCGCTTCCTCCTCGTACCTGTCCGGCGGTTATCACGGTCGGATCCGCGTTGTCTCAGTAGTTCTCCACAATTGTCCAAGATCGGTGCTGGATAGTCTTCAGTCTCTCTGTGATCGCTGCCCATGAAAGCACACTTAGAACAGAACTATGGTGCCACTGATTCCAACACTCGCGTTCACAAACACGCACATATTCTAACTAAATAAACTAGACGCACAGAGAGACGCTCTCTCCACCTGTCGCCATTACAGCGCCAGTCCTGTTTCTCTTTAATTCAGATAAACTCTTCATTGTGTTTACTTCATCTCACTCTCTCCATCAAACACTGCAGTCCGCCTGTCTGTGTGTAGTAGGGTCACACGCATCAGAGGGAGAGTGCGGTGAATCAGGGGAATGCAGGGAAGTTGCTTTTGGTGTTTTTAACGTGTACTTGGCTTCTGCAAAACATTCAGGGTTTGAGGCAGCATCTCTCCAGAATGAGGTAACCGCCTTAAGCGTGTATGAACTGAGCCGATGTTCCGTCTGTAGTAGCTGCTGGTCATGTGCTCATCACATGACGTTGGTTTTGCCGCATGATTGTTGGAAATGACATTCAGCTCATAAAGAAAATGCGCCAGAAATACAATTAAAGAAGATTTTGGATAAGTCCAAAACCTCGAATCTGAAGTATTTTTTAAAAGTCTCTCTTTTTTTTTTTTTCTCTTTGCTCTTTTCTCCTCTTTGCTCCTCATCCCCTCTCTCCTCCTCCCAGTTATATAGGTTTCATTGAAAGCTACAGAGACCCATTTGGTTCCAGAGGAGAGTTTGAAGGTAAATACCATAGAGTTCAGAAATGGTGATATGTTGTTGTCTTCTATAGTTGTATGCAGTCTGAGTCAGTGGGCCTCTCCAGGTTGTATTGTTCTGGTCCAAAGCTAGAGACCATTTAATAACCATTGTGAATGAGTTAGTTGAATCATTGAAAAGGCTGCTTATATATACTGAATTAACTTCTATCATAGATTTTAGAAACATACTTTAATTCTAACAGTCATTGCATCATTATTACTTGGACATGTACAGTAATACATATTGTTCTGTACCTGTAATGACAAACTATTTCCTAAATTGGTACCCTGCCAATAATCTGGCCTTGCTAAGCCTGTGGTTAACCGCTATCTTAAAATTAGGAGGCTGAAGTGTGAATCAATGTGTGCAAAATACATATTTACAGCCATGTGTGTTTTTTTTTTCTTCTGTCAATTTGCCTCCATCCTTGGGGGTTGTGATGTCACCTCTAGGTTTTGTTGCGGTTGTAAACAAGGCAATGAGTGAGCGTTTTGCCAAACTGGTGAGCTCAGCAGAAGTCTTGCTCCCTGAGCTGCCTTGGCCAAGAGACTATGAGAAGGACACTTTCCTTAAACCCGACTTCACGTCACTGGATGTTCTCACCTTCGCTGGCAGTGGAATACCAGCTGGCATCAACATCCCCAACTGTACGTATGCTCAGCTTCTGTAAAGTGTTACGGGAGTGTTTTTAAACTATTAATGAACTACTTTATACTCTGTTTCAAGCTCCTAACTTCTGATGGTTTGTTTTTGCGTGCAGATGATGACATCAGACAGTCAGAGGGCTTTAAAAATGTGTCGCTAGGCAACGTTCTCGCTGTGGCCTATGCTACACAAAAAGAAAAACTCACCTTTCTGGAGGAGGAGGACAAGGTAACAAACGAAGCTTCCTGAGTCCATTACAACAAAGCTCTCATCACACACACAAACAATACTATAACTCCACACCTTTCTATGTGTGTGTGTGTGTTGCTTTTACACTAGGATTTGTTCATCAAGTGGAAAGGACCATCATTCGAGGTGCAGGTGGGACTTCATGAGCTGTTGGGCCATGGAAGTGGCAAGCTGTTTGTCCAGGTCAGTTAAACCTAACGCACGGCATGAGGGTGTTGACCTTCATGGTTTAGAGTCACATGATAGATTTCCCTTGGACACAAATTTAGTGATTCAGATGTAACTGCTTTCTCCTTGTTAAAATAATGAATTTAATAATTTATTGAAATTAGATTAAACAATTATGAATGTTGAAATAGTGTCTAAATTGTTTCACTCCTGCTGTTTTTTTTCCTGTACAGGATGATAAGGGGAAGTTCAACTTTGACCAGACAAAGGTGACCAATCCAGAGACTGGAGAACTGGTGAGTTTGTTTGTGTTTACATCCATTCTTTATTCTGTGTCTTTCTAAAAAGAGACTGAAGGCATAAATATTTATTTTAGGTGTCCAGTTGGTATCGTGGCAGCGAGACATGGGACAGCAAATTCTCCACAATTGCTTCGTCTTATGAAGAATGTCGGGCTGAGTGTGTTGGACTTTATTTGTGTCTCAACAATCCAGTACTAAGGTATGATTTACTTGTCACCTTCATTCCATTTGTATCTCTGTGAATTTCCTGAAATTGTTGCAGTCTTATCTCTCAGCAGGAGTGAAGAGGGATTTAAAAAAAAAAAATCGGAGCTATGTTGTACGGAGCCGCAAGCTCCTTGTGCGTGCCTGCACTCTCTTGGGCACGCTCTCTCTCCCTCGCACACGCAGCAGTTTTATGAATAAATGAAAAATAAAATACAATTTTCGGAAATATACTTGGCCATAAATCGTCTCGTGTGTGGGAAACACTGGTACAGCATAAGGAGGGGGACAAGCTTGTCTTTTTTGTGTCTCTTGTGATTTCTCCCTCTGCAAATAAAATGCAAATGCAGTAATACACTCCTTTTTTGCACTTTGTAACAGTTGGGAATCTATGTTAGGACAAATAGTAATGTCATCACATTGTTTGGAATATTTAAATCAGTCATTAAAATGGAGTGGTTGTTATTTATTGTTAGGCTCTCTGGATTGTTGGCTGATGGGTAAATGTGAGTGGCATAAACCTTTACCTTTGTTTTGTGTTTCAGTATTTTTGGACATGATGGCCAGGATGCAGAGGATGTGGTGTACATTAACTGGCTCAGCATGGTGAGAGCTGGACTGTTGGGTCTGGAGTTCTACACAACGGAGAGCAAGAGCTGGAGACAGGTAATCCATAAGCATTCTTTTTTAACTCTCTCTCTCTCTCTCTCTCTCTCTCTCTCTCTCGGCTGTTTGCGTTCACACATAGCCTAAAGACCCTCTGGGTAGCCTAATTTCCGTAGTTTTTCAAGAGATTTCTCTATGTGTGAAAAGGGTTTTGGGCTGCCTTGCATCATGTAATAACGAATCCTGACTTTGATTTATGTAGAGCTTTGGAGATACAGTGTTTACGTGACTAGACATCATACAGACGATGAGGCATGTGTTTCTTAGAAACTGACTGGCTCAGTCATATGTGTCTGTGTAGTTTAAAATCACAGCTCTAAGTAAGCCTGTCTGTGTTTAAAGTAGTGTCAGAGTATGTATACAGTGAATGTCGTGTGTGTGTGTGTGTCTCAGGCTCACATGCAGGCTCGCTTTGTGATCCTGCGTGTTCTGCTGGAGGCTGGGGAGGGCCTGGTAGGCCTGGAGGAAGTTACAGGAAAGGATGGCAAGCCTGACGCTCGAATCACATTGGACCGCAGCAAGATCCACACCGTGGGCAAACACGCCATCCACAGGTTTCTCCAGAAACTGCAGGTTTGTCCATCATTAGATAATACAGTTTTCCAGAAATTAAATCCTGGAAAAAAATACAACATATTTGAGAATACATTTATTATACAGAAAACATTTCATTCTTTCAAAACAAATGTTAACCATATATACATGTCAGCTTATTTGCGTCACAAATTCCATTTCTTAAATTCATGAAACACAAACTCAGTGTATAAAGTTTGATAAATCTGATGGAGCATTTTCTTTCTCAGAAAATAAAACAATAGTCTCCTCCTTTTCTTTGCCTTTGTTGGTGCATATTTGCCTTCAGATGACCTTTAGATCAGATTATTTGTGTGTGCTGTCGTGTAACTGAACAGTTTAATAAATAACCAGAGAGATCTACTGTCCATTACTGCAACTCCAAATTCTTTTTTGGGATAAAATAATGAATGAGAACTTCTTGATTCCCCTTCACTGCGATACTATTTGAATAAATTACCAAATAGTTTAAGAGAGGTAGAAGTGTGAATGTAAAACTGTCAACGGCCATCATGTCAAATGAAGATTATGAATGATCAACTGTCTGGACAAAAAAAGTATTTTCTCCTGTTTTCTGAGCACACAGCTAACGTGCTCCTCTGTGTTGTAGGTTTTCAAGTCTACAGCAGATGTGGATGGAGGGAGAGCCATGTACAACGGCTACTCTGCTGTCGGTGACGGCGGCGCTCACAACTTCTTGCGTCTCCGTGAGACAGTGCTGCTGAGGAAAGAGGCTCGTAAGATGTTTGTCCAGGCCAACTCCAGAGTCAATGGTATGTAGCAGCATCTGTTTCTGCTATGGGAGTGTAACAGTGGTTATGTTTATATGGACACAAATAATCTGAATAAAAGCTGGATCAGAATATAAATGTTTCATGTAAACATGTCAAATAAATTTCATGCCGATCGTTGTTCGGCACAGTGTACATGCTTGATCTGATCATGTCTTCCTGGTTGGGGTAAAACTATTCTCACTGTGCATTCTCATCTTATTCTACAGCGCAGACCGCTCAATTCCTCTGTTAATCGAGTGTTATCATGACTTTGGCTAATATGTGGAAATCTAATTTTGACAACCTCAGAGCAGACAAAGGGCCTGACCCCAGGTCAAACTAAACATCTTTAGAAAGACCTGTTCGTTAGTTGGTGGTTACAGGCCGTGATTGTGTGTCTGTTTGTTAATGAGGACTATTGGGCTGACTCTTACTGTGTCGTTTACAGGGGACAGCGTAGAGCTGGTTGAATATGAAGGCAGCGCAGCGGGGTTGATTCGCTCTTTCACGGAACGTTTCGACGAAGATGCAGAGAAACTGGAGGCCGACCTTGTGGAGATGGGCAAAAGAGACGCCCCCTGCTGGTGTTGATAGACGGATGGATGATCTGCTCCAATGGCACTTAAAATATCAACCAGATTTTTTTTTTATCATATATGTGAAAGCAAACTGATTCTAAATGGATAAAACACACAGAAGAACACTATATGATCTCATTAATATCAGACCATTAAATGAATGGTTTGTACTTCCAATAAAGCCATAAGGTTAGATCAGATCTGCCCAATGTATTAGCCACGATCCAATGTCTGGTCTGTTTATGTAAACAGGCTCAAATCAGAACTTCTCTCTTCAACTCTTGGATAAATTTGAACTATGTTCTGACTTCTATTTAAACCAATGCTGCCTGACAAGACAAATGTGTTTGAAGTGACTCACACTTTCTGACTATAGCTAAGTTTAAAATTCTCTTCAGAAAAAAATGGATCCATCTTTACTGTTACAAAATGTTGTTTTACGGTTCATGATGATCGGATAGGTTGAAAGTAGACCAGGTACCATTACAGCATTATGCCAACTGTTAGGCAGAATATTTTTCCTGCTTTGTTTGATATGAAGAAAACATTAATAAGTTGACTGTATACAATGATGCTGTCCAAAAGCCATGAGTTAAATCCACACAAATAAAATCGGTTTGATGTCAAGCAAAGGCTTATTCATTTCAATTGTCAATCTTTAACAATCGCAGTATGCCTTTTCATGTATTTGAACATAAAAGATTGCCCTGAATATTGAAATAAGGTCAAGCTTTATGAAAATCTTCCAATGTGGGATCAGTTATTAGGACTTAAGTGGCACTTGTTTAATCAAAGCCTGGAGGTCTGTATGTCAACATTTCTGCAAAGAACTTAATTTTTTTTAAGCACTTTTTGTATCCAAATTAATAGCTCTTGGTTCTAGTATTTGCACAACAATAATGCAATATTATTTGTAATTTTGATGCAAAAATGAAGGCAATTCACATCCAATAGGGAATGAATACCAAACTCCAGACATTTTCAGTTCTGCAAGTTTAGATTAAATACTCAGAAATCAAAAATATGAAAGAGAACAAAATCCCTGCCTGTCAGCTAGACATCAGTCAGAAGATTGTGGGTATTTTTTTAGAGAATAGCTGGTAATTAAGAGTAGGCCTAATACAAATAACAGCTGCAGTTAAAGCATGAAAAGCAACCAGTATCATCTTTAAAATTCTTTAGTAAAACATTTTATCCAAACATCTTTCATAATTTCAAAACATATTCAAATGAAACTTTAGTATACTGTCAACACTTAGTAAATCTACACTGTGCATAACATCACATGTATGTGAAATCTTACGGCGCACTCACACTAGGCAATCTGTACTGTGCCCAAGCACGCTTCAACCCTAAAGTTTGCTTTTTCTCGAGTCTGCCTGTCTTGTAAACTAAGCACGCTTCATAATCATACCTTAAGCCATGCATGTGCTGCATTATGACCATATGAACAAGAGGTAACTGTGCTCAGGCCCGGTTAGTCCTGGAGCAGTGAGAGCGCAGGGCAGCGGGGTACGTGGGAGGTGGGAGGGGGGGGGGGCAATCATGCTTAAACACTGACAAATTTGCTAGTGTGAGTGCGCCCTTCAGTCCTCAAGACTGCTGGAGGAGCTGCAATTGTTGTCATTTATAGCCGCAGCACTCATCTGTAAAACCAGACCCTCCTCTTCTGTATTTCTGTTTAATTCCTCATTTGTCTTCTTTGCATCCACACTTGTTCCTTCCATCTCAGCCTCTCTCTCCGGTCTTAGTTGATCTGGTCTTGGAGAAGATGCGGTTGTGTGGTAGACCTGCTCTGACAGCTCATCGAAGAACGGCGAGGTAAAAGGAGAGAGCGAGAAGAGGGCTTGAGGAGAAGGAGACGTGGAGGGAGAAGAGCTCGGTGACTCATATGGAGAGAGGGAAGAAAGAGCTTTGGGAGAAAGAGACGGGGATTGATAAGGAGAGAGAGAGGGAGACGCACCGGGCGAGTCATGAGGAGAGAAGGACCGTGATACTTTGGGGAAAATAGAAGGTACCTTGGGAGAAACAGATGGGGAATGGTACGGAGAGAGTGACGGAGTAAGGGAGGACGTGATCTTTGGGGAGAGCGGCATGTAGTCTGAGTACTCTGAGAGATGCTCCATAACTGTTGGTACCTGAGCTGTAGCCTCCTCCTCTACCTGCATGTCAGGCTGGAAGAGAGGAGCGGGGGTTTCCTGAACTATGGGATCAATCTGAGGGGCTTGATTTAGGCCTTTACTAGGATGTGTTGCATGTTTTTTGGCTTTACATCTTCCTCTGGTTTTGGGCATTAGAGGAGGTGGAGGAGGAGGAGTAAGCGGGGGTGACAGCAGAGAGGATGTCTCTGTTGAAATCCGGACTTTTTGGCTCCGTTTGAACATGTGCCTTCTGCACGTAGCGTTCTGGGACTGCAGGAAAAGAGGGTTGATGAAACAGAGATCGCCCAGGCCAGAGCCGCAGTCCAGCTCTCTGGGGCTGCGTGTCGTGATTGGACAAAACTCCTGGAACAGAGTGGAACCAGGACCAGCTGGTTTGGGGTCTGATTCTGTGGTTGTCTTCATCTGGGGGTCTGAGTCAGGCTGGGGAGCTGAGTCAGGTGTAACTGCAGGGCTTGTCTGTGGGGCAGCAGTGAGAGGGGCGGAAGTTTTAGGGTCAGGCTTCTTCTCCGGGTCCTCCTGAGGCTTTGGAGGCCCCCGAGGCCCACGGACATTTAAGTGGGAGTTCCAGAATTCTATTGAACAAAACAGATTTTCAGTAAATACCACAACCTTTTTTTTTTGTTGCTATAAGTTTGATCTCACCTTCATCATTTAAACCACCTTCTGAGGACTGTGCCTTATGCTTCTAACATAACACAAATATATATATCTACCAACACAATTTACTATAGACAGTTTTTTCATAAATAAAATAGGAAATTGGTCACCTTTTAAAATATACCTTTAAGACATTTCTTTAAAAAAAAATACCACACTATGAATTCAAATTGTTCGGGTTTGTTTTCAAGTAGGGTGGGGTCTGTTTATCGTGTGTAATTATATCCTGAAAGGCCTGTGTAATTGAGGTTAAAGTTACAAAATCTGCGTTGAGTAAACAAGAGTTGCATCTACTAACCGACTCCCATGTGTGAGATGGACTCGAGCTCTTTGTGGGATGATGCCTTTGCAATGGCTTCAGGAAGCTCCAGCGGGAAGGGCAGCACATCTCTGACAGACAGATATTACATCATATTAGCACAAACATTAACTGATAACGTCACATTGACAAATATCATTACAAAAAACGCTGATATATACAAAGAACAAATTTGATGAAAAATATATATATATATATTTGTATATAAAAATGAAGACTAATAAAAAAGAGGCTACTTACCTGCTGACACAGTAAAAGGAAATCAATCTTGGGAGATCTGGAAAGCTGATTGCTGAAGTCTCCAGACACAAAGCTGTGGTAGGGGGAGAATAAATCAAGAATGCAAAAGAGAATAATTAGTATCAAATATGTGGTTGTACTGAATCAGGAGTCTTATTTATTGGCATTCTGGTCTGTGGGTAAAATGTGGGAAGGTTACTTTCAAAATGTCATAGGTTCCACAACTCTAGTTGCCTTAAATTTAACTTATTACAATTGATGACTTTTCTAACAAATACTTCAAACTTGACAACAACCTAAAGCATTGAAGTGTACTTACAAAAGTGCCAGAAAGTAGTTAGCCCACTTCAGCAAAATGGTTGTTAACACTGTAAAGTCTACATGTGTATTGGTAAGCATTAAAAAAAACAACAACAACAACATGGTACCTTTTGTAAATCTGTTGAAATTAGCTTGGGTAACTATAGAGTCAAGTGCCTTATTTTATGCAGCCCCAATGGTTTTGTACATGCCCACTCGCCCATGCAATCAGACAAGATCTTGACGTGTTTCAGGTCAAATAACTGTACTCGTACTTTTACTGGAGCGCTCCTCCCTGATGCCAATCTGCTGGACAAAGGAGGGTACGCTATCATCCGCCAAACGGACACACAGCACGTTCCTTTGAGATGTTCGAGACATGCGAACCAGGAAGGTCTGCAGAAAAACACAAATAGTCACAGATTGCACATGAGAGTGTACATTGGGTGAAAATGCATGGGTTTCTTTTTTTAAATTGCATGTGGCTCTGACCCCAGGTGGCTCCCTCTGCAGTATGTGCAGTGCTGTGGCAGGATTGATTGACAACTGAAGCCAGACAGGAACAGTGAGTAGGAGACGGTCCAGCACACTGACGCTCCTCAGAGATCCTCCTCCCCTTTGATGCCCCGAGAACTTCCGCTGTGAGGGCTTGGTGGGCTCTGGGAAATCATACAGAGGCTCTTCCTGCTGTGCCATCTAAATATACAACAAAAGGCATAGATGGTTATGTATTATCCTGCAACTGAACATGTCCTCCCAATGATTTTACAGGTGGTCATTATCTGTCCCTGTGGGGCTCATATTCAGGAACAGGAAGATGGGTGGGATGGCTGAACACACCTGTGTAATAAAGATGCCTGGATTGGGAAAGCAAGTCCAGACTTGGTGAAGTGCAGCAGCTCAGACTGAGCTTAAATGAAATAAGGGGAAAAAACACAGTTTACAATTTAGGAACCAAAATGGATACACAAACGCTACATAATCCAGTTTACCATGTTTATGATAGTTGGCTTTCGGCTATTCATCTAGAAATCAAAGCTACAGCCTAAATCTGTGCGCGCATTCCTGTAGAATTATCCATTTCCTCCTTAAACATGTTACTGAGACTCTTCCTGTTGTACAATTACACAGCTTGTCACATCTAATCTCAGTGTGCATTAATTCTCACAACCAGTAACAGGAGCGTTGTTTACCTCTTGGCCCCGGTCCTTCTTTAAAGCTCCTCCGGTTCCCCTTTACATAACCATGCTCGATCTTCTTCCATCCACTTCGACGCGACGAAAGTTCAGTTCTCTTCTACGTTCACGAGTGCTTCAAGATCAGGAGGTGTTTGACTCCTCCTTCCCTCCCACCTGGAAACAAACGTGTGCTAGACTCACTTGACTGATTTCAGAAAATATAACAGAATAGCCTATTTTTTGTTGTTGTACATTTGAGTCAGTTGCATGTTTGACTTCAATCAATCAATCAATCAATCAATCAATCAATCAAAAACTTTATTTATATAACACCTTTCAGACAAATTAAATTGCAGTACAAAGAGTGCAGAAAAGTTATTGACGAAAAGTAGTTTATAAAATCATTGAGAGACCAATAAGAATAAAAAATAAAATATATGTATAAAAATAAAATACGACACATAAAGCAACAAGATATTAAAATAAGAGGAAAATATTTAAAATTGTAGTAGGATAAAAAAGACAATACAGTATTGTTAAGATTTGAATTGATATAAAACACTATAAAACACAACTTAAGTGTTTGCGGAGCATGTTTTAAATAATACTGTAATGTAAAGCATTACGACAGATACATAAAATCAACTCACTAAAGTATAGATTGGAGACATCTCAGGGGGGGGGAGGATAATATATTGTGTGATTAAAGTGATTTGTGAGCGTTTAATGCATAGACTGTAAATATAAAATCATTTACACCACAGTGTAAAC